ATCACCATGCACCAACATCAACTCAAAATGGATTAAAGACCTTAACATTAAACCTGAATCTCTGAAACTACTGCAGGACAGAGTAGGAGAGACACTTGAACTTATAGGCACAGGAAGGAACTTGCTGAACAGAGTCCCAAGGTCACAAATTGGAGAGAAACTCGACAAATGGGACTACCTTAAAATAAAAAGCTTCTGCACAGCTAAAGCTATCGCAACCAAGCTAGAAAGACAACCAAGTAATTGGGAAAAAATATTTACCAGCAATATATCAGACAAGGGGTTAATATCCAGTATATACAGGGCACTCAAGAAACTAATCCCTCCCAAACCTAACAAAACAATTACTAAATGGGCAAGGGAACTAAAGAGAGATTTCTTAGATGAAGAGATTAAAAATGGCAAAGAAACACATGAGGAAATGTTCACCATCCCTGGTTGTGAAGGGAATGCAAATAAAGACAACCCTGAGATACCACCTTACCCCAGTCAGAATGTCCCACATGCACAAATCAGCCAACAACAAATGGAGGGGATGCGGAGAAAGAGGAATCCTATTACACTGCTGGTGGGAATGTACACTTATACAACCACTTTGGAAAGCAATCTGGAGGGTCCTCAGAAAGCTAAAGATTGACCTCCCTTATGACCCAGTCATACCACTTCGAGGCATCTATCCTGAACAACAACAGGAACCAGTATACAAGGACACATGCACTTCCATGTTTATTGCAGCACTGTTCACAATAGCCAGGATATGGAAACAACCCAGATGTCCCACCACAGATGAATGGATCCAAAAATTGTGGTATCTATACACAATGGAATATTATGCAGCCATTAGAAATGACAAAATATTGACATTTGCAGGGAAATGGATGGAGCTACAAGAAATCATTGAGCAAGGTAAGCCAAGAGCAAAGAGACAAACAGTACATGGTCTCCCTGATAAGTGGATGTTAAATCCAAAATGTTAGAAAATACCACAAAATTAACAGGACTTAAGAAACAAAGGACTTCCACTCATCTGGTGGAATCACTACTAAATAACCCCATGGTGCTGATCACATGTATGGTATATATGTGTACACTGGAGGGGAACCAGGAAGACCATGCAGAACTAGAGGGAATCAGGGAAAAACATAACAGCGGGACCCATCAGCTGCACTGGACACTGACCAAAATGAACTAAGCAACTTATTGGCAGCGATAGGAGGGAGGGAACAAATGAGAAAGAGGGAACAGCTGATGCTATGCAAAACAAAAGAAATGTACATACAACCCAATGTGGAAGAAATAACTGTATCGCAAAGCTCATAGAACTCATAAATGTTATAGACCGTGATAAACAATTTGCTCCAGGAAAGTTAGAATGTGTTTGAGCATCACTATCCCACAATACTGTGAAATTTGGGAAATTATGTAACCACTTAATCACAATAAAAAATTTGATTAAAAAAAAAAAGTATCTGCCAGGCTCCCTTGGTTCACGCCTGTAATCCTAGCTACTCAGGAGGCTTAGATTTGAGGATTGCTGTTCAAAGCCAGCCTGGGCAGAAAAGTCTGTGAGACTCTTATCTCTAATTAACCATCAGAAAAATGGAAGTAGAGCTGTGGCTCAAACAGTAGAGTGCTCTCCTTGAGTTGAAAAGGGACAGCACCCAAGCTTAAGAGTTCAAGCCCCCGAGCAACAAAACAAAATTATCTTTGTTAGTCATAATGGTTCCCTTAGATGACATCTGACAGTTCATGCAACAAGGTGATACATGGGAAGCCTTATTGATCCTAACAAGATGACAGGATTGGTAACATCAGCAGGACCAACCACATGAATAGCAGACTGGGATTTAGCGCACCATCATATCAACCTGGTCTTAGCCTGGTCTCTACCATTCTATTTATATGAAATGCTTAGAAGAGGCAAATCCATAGAAAAAGAAAGTAGGGTGGTTGCTAGTGGCTAGGCAAAGGACAGAATGAGGAAGACTACTATGGAGTATGGACTTCTTTCGATGATTACAATGTTTGAAAATTACAGCTGATGGCTGCAAAAGTCTGTGTAAATATTCATAATCACTGGCTGATAGCTTCTTTTAAAAAGCCAATTTTGGAGTCAGTGTTATAACTCCAGTGGTAGAGTATTTCCTACCGTTCATGAGACTCTGGGAACCATCCCCCGAACAAATTATTATTTATATTATTATTTTAACATAATAAAAATAAAGTTGTACAGGATGGGAATTATATCTCAATAGCTATACATATAGTTATAAACACATACGTACACATACATATATTTATGTAATTATAAGCTATTTTCAATGTCCTATTTAACAATAGAACAAAATGCCTCATTATTCCTCACAATTTTTAAAATTAAAGACTTAAGGGCTGGGAAGGTGGCTCAGTGGTAGAGTGCTTGCCTTGCATGCCTGAGGCCCTGGGTTCGATTCCTCAGCACCACATAAGCAAAAAGAAAAAATGCCGGAAGTGGCGCTGTGGCTCAAGTGGTAGAGCGCTCGTCTTGAGCTGAAGAGCTGAGGGACAGCGCCCAGGCCCAGAGTTCAGGCCCCACGACCGGACCCCAAAAAAAAAAAATTAAAGACTTAACCCTGAAACCAACAAAATTTGCTATGTTAGTTACGATACATACAAGTCTTACAAATATTTTCCTTATAGGAGAGCTGCCTAGGAGCCTGTAAACCAACTGCTTGTGGCACCTGAAAAAGTATAATGCTCAAAAGAATTTTACTCAATAATGCTTGATAGCAAATGTACTCATTACTTGCCTATGTAACTATAACCCCTCTGTACAGTATTTTTACAATAAAAAATATTTTTTAAGAAATTTACTACCTTGCCCATGTAATTGTAACCCCTCTGTACAGTATGTTCACAATAAAAAATAAAATAAAAATTTAAAAAAAAAAAGGGCTGGGAAGGTGGCTCAGTGGTAGAGCGCATGCCTTGCATGCCAGAGGTCCTGGGTTCGATTCCTCAGCACCACATAAGCAAAAAGAAAAAAGCCAGAAGTGGCGCTGAAGCTCAAGTGGTAGAGCGCTAGCCTTGAGCTAAAGAGCTGAGGGATAGCGCCCAGGCCCAGAGTTCAGGCCCCATGACCGGACCAAAAAAAAACAAAGAAAAAAAAAGAAATTAGACAAAACACAATTAACAAAACACAAATACAAAGAAAGCTCCTTTTGGATGAGAATGTTGAAAAGGGCAACATTCAACATTGATCAAGATGCACTATATTCATAAACTGCTCTGTTGAAAAGGGCAACATTCAACATTGATCAAGATGCACTATATTCATAAACTGCTAACTCCTTTGTACAATTACTGAAAAATAATAAGTATATTCAAAAAAGAAAAAAAAATTACTACCTACATCAGAAGCTACAAAAATAAAAGCAAACTACTCTTTCAAAGTCAACCTGGGAATGCTACTCACCAAGTATACTGCTCTTTGGAAGAAAGTAGTAGTTTCCAAAATTTTGTGCATTGTAATCGTTTCCAATTCATCAGGATCTAGCTGTTCCTTTTCAAAGGGCATTCCATTGAAGAGAACCACAGGCAGTGGACCGACACCAGTCTGCTCATAGTAGCCTTTTGCTTCCTAGAACACAGTAAAACACAAAAACAGAACATTTTTGCCCCTTATGATACAAGTGGAACACGGTGTGTTTTTGTTTACATGCCTTACAACAACAACAATAAAAATATCTTAAAGAAGAAATACCGAAAGGTACTTCTTTTTCAGAAAGAAGTATAGTTAGTGGAAATCCAAGATTGAATTAGGGAATTTAAAGTTTATATAAGGGAATAAATATGTATCAAACAAACTACACATATTATGATCAGCACTGTACAACAAAACAGCATGTTGAACTGATAAGTGGCTCTCTAAAAAACTCACTTATTTTTGCTCTTCTTAGCTACATACAGGAATCAGTTGTATTAGCTCCTAAGGCAAGAATCATAACACAGATACAATTATTTTCATTAAATAACTTAATATTATGAAAATGAAAAAACTATGAGTATTAAAAGAAAAGGTTGTTCTGACTACAAGAATGAATTGGATGACTTAAAAATTCTAAAATGTTAAACTGAGTATAAGACAGACATCTATAGAAGAATGAGAGGGTACTGAGGATGTTGTTCAGGAACAGAGCAGGTGCTTAATATGCTTTAAATGAATTAAAAGAAATTTTTCTTCATTCTTGTCCTAATATATATTTTCAATAAATTGATCAATTTGTTCTTCCTTGCAATAATGGTTTCTTACTATATTAAATGTCTCACAAGAAAAAAACTAAATACACAAAAATTAATTTCCAGCCAGATGCTGGCTCACACCTGTAATCTTAACTCTTCAGGAGGCTGAGATCTGTGGATTGTGGTTCAGAGGGAGTCCAAACAGAAACCTCCACGAGATGCCTACCTCCAATTAACCACCTAACAGCCAAAAGTGGAGCTGTGGCTCAAGTACTAAAACATAGCCTTGAGCAAAAAAGCTCAGGGACAGCACCCAGACCCTGAATTCAAGCCTTAGGACTAGCTCAAAAAACCCAAACCAAACCCAAGAAAAAACAAAATTCAATTTCCCATTGCAAATCCTTATTTTTATACTTTGCTACTCTGTCAAGTGCTGGTGTTCACACCTATAACCCTAACTACTTAAGCTGGGATCTGACCCTAACTACTTAAGCTGGGATCTGAGAATAAAGCTTTGAAATCAGCCCAGGCAGGAAAGCCCATGAGACTCTTATCTCCAATTAACCAGTAAAAACCTAGAAGAGATGTAGTCAAAGTGGTAGAGCATCAAACTTAAGTGAAAAAGCTAAAGAACAGGGCTCAGGCCCTGAGTTCAAGTCCTAATACTGGCACTCATGCATGGTCGGTCGGTCGGTCGGTCGGTCTGTCTGTCTGTCTTTCTCTCTCTCACACACACACACAGTGATAACTTTAAAAAACTGACCTTCCTATCATTTTCTTAAACATTAAAAAAGATCTGGACTGGCACTGTGGCTCATGCCTATGATCCTAGCTATCCAGGAGGCTGAGATCTGAGAATGGTAATATGAAGCCAGTGTGGGCAGAAAAGTTCATGAAACTCTTACATCCAATTAAAACTACCAAAAACCCAGAAGTAAAGCAGTGGCTCAAGTGGTAGAGTTCTAGCCTTGATAACAAAAATCTCAGGGACAGCATCTAAGCCCTGAGTTCAAGCCCCAGGACAGAACACACACAGACACACAGACATACACACAGACACACACAGAGAACAGAGACACACATGAGAGCGAGAGAGAGACAGAGACAGAGAGAAACAGAGAAACTATTACCACCACCATTGTTAGAACACTGCCACACTACAAGGGTAAAAGCTGAAGTACAGTGCAATGTTGCAATCAACTGAAAACCAAAGAACTGTTTACCTTCCGATTCTGATCATAAGCAGAATCAATTCCCAAAATGCTGTTAACTTCTACATATGGATATTTCTTCTCCAGGACACTGACCACATGTTCAACCTTTACTTTTTCTCCAGTTCTCACTTTATTATAGATCTGAAGAAAGAAAAAACAGGTAATCAACTACACTTTTAAATCCAAATTTCAAAGTTTATTAAGAAAGATTTCTGAGCCTAGAGGGAAAATATGACTATTGTTCTTTAAAGGGAAATTGAGCAAAATAGCAACAATTCCATTACATTATACTTCATTAAGATGATTTGGGGGAGGGGGGGAGGAGAAGGGAAGGGATAGGAAGGGGAAACAAAGGAGGAGGCAACAATGTATGATAAGAAATGCACTCATTATTGCCCATGTAATTGTAACCCCTCTACATGGTATTTTCACAATAAAAAAATTAATCAAACAAAAAAATAAAATAAGATAAAATAGAAAAAAAAAGATGGTTTAGGTTGGAAATATTTCTTAAAATAACCTAAGCAGTCATATTAAATCTCAAATGAACAGAATGCACCAAAAAAAAAATCTGAATCTGAATATAGTGGTATACATCTGTAATCCCAGCACTAAGAAGATGAGGCAGGCCAGCGTGGACTATATAACAAGACACTGTGTCAAAAACCAAACCAAACTAAAACACAGCACAACAAAAAACAAAATAACTCATGTCTATGATATTTAGGGCAAGAAGTGCTGTAAAGTATGAATGACATAATCTCTGTTCCACAAAACAGATCAAAAACAAAAGAGAACTGTGTATGTGGACACTTCAACATCTCAAGGATTCAAGGTAACCCTTTAGCAATTCTACCTTTAGGGAAGATCAGGGAAGAGAGAAAGATGTGAGACATATTGTAAATGGGTAGTAAATTATTGGATTAAAAAATATTACAAAATAAAATTCAACAAATTAAGTGAAAATTTGCATTCTTTTCTTTCATATACATATCCAAAAGAAAAACAAAACTTTAAAGAGAGTATTTTAAACTACTTATTATGCTGGGTGACTTCCTTTTCTATTTCATTCTCCATAGCCTTACTAACTTCCCATCATTTCTCATGGAGATTATACAACAGCTTACCTCTGCCCTTCCTCAGGCCTCTCACAAGAGTTTGCCTGATGCACTGTGCACCACTGCTCCTTAGCCTAAAAGTCTTGTAGATTAGCTTCCTCCTCTACATAATCTCCTGTTCATCCTGTACTAGCTTGGTTTTATCACCTTTGATTCATAGCCTGTGAAGCTGAGTCCCATATTTCCTGCTAAACTCAGTGGGGACAACTGCCACCACAAAAATAACACCTCTGCTCACCCAAGGAAGACTGAAGGCTTCAGGCCACCCAGACAGAAGTGTTCTCCACACTCTGTGACACCACCTATTCAGATGTGCTCCCACATGGGTGTGAGGTTTTTGAGGATAAGGAGGTTATTTCCTTTGTAGAAACGATAGCCAGTACCAGAGTTATACATGGCAGACCTTTAATAAATATTTGCCAAATAAATAAATGAATAAAAAGTGTGCCAAATGATTTTTTTGGGGGGGTCCGGTCGTGGGCCTGAACTCTGGGCCTGGGTGCTGTCCCTCAGCTCTTCAGCTCAAGGTTAGTGCTCTACCACTTGAGCCACAGCGCCACTTCCGGCGGTTTTTTTTTCTGCTTATGTGGTGCTGAGGAATTGAAACCAGGGCCATATGCAGGCAAGAGGCAAGCGCTCTACCACTGAGCCACCTTCCCAGCCCCTGCCAAATGAATTTCTAAACTATAAACATAACAAATAATAAATCAGACTAACATCCTCTTAATGGGCAAAAGTGGTAAAAATCAATTGCTTGATTTTATAAATTGCATTTATAAAATTGTTTACATTCAAAAATAGAAAAAACAAGAAAACATAATTCTTTGAACTGGAATATGTAAATGCCTTATACATGTGCACACATCAGGGCATTTCAAAACTCACAATAAAAATGGGGAAATAAAACTGGCAAAAAGGATTTTATAGCTGGGTGCCATGGCTTACACCTGTAATCCTTAACTACTCAGGAGGCTGAGATCTGAAGTATGAAGCCAGTCAAAGCAAGAAAGTTCATGAGACTCTTATCTCCAATTAACCATCAAAAAAGCTGGAAATAGAGCTATGGCTCAAGTGATAGAGTGCAAGTCTTGAGCAAAAAAGCCCAGAGACAGTGCCCAGGCCTTGAGTTCAAGCCCAGGATTAGCAGACAAAAAAAAAAAAATTAGAGGATTTTATGATATGAATAACAAACTAAGCCCTAATTTTAAAATATCATAAGAAATTCTAAGAGAGGAATGAAAAATAAGCGTTTTTAAAATGGAGAATATCCTATTCATCAAAAGGTATTAAGTAATAATTTCAAACCACAAAGGGGAAAAAGTATAACTTAATATTCTCATCTGGCATCTAAGGAATCTTATCTTAGCTGAAACCATTGTTAGTTAAAATGTAAAAGTATCTCTTTAAGTCTTTAGCCCACTTATTTATTGGGCATTTGTTTCTATGAGGATTTGTTGCTGGGGGATTTAATTTTTTGAGTTCCAAGTATATTTTAGATATGAGACCCTTGTCCGTTGTATGGCTAGTGAAGATCTCCCAATCCATGGGCTATTTTTTTATTTTTATTTATATTTTTATTGTGAAAATACTGTTCAGAGGGGTTACAATTACATGGGAAAGATAATGAGTACATTTCTTATCAAGCATTGCAGCCTCCTGCTTTGTTTCCCCTTCCCATCCCTTCCAATCCTCCCCCAGCCCCCACACCAAATCCTCCCCCCCCCCACCAAACTTCGTTTTCAACATAACAACTTGTACATCTCATTGTTGCAATGGGTCCACCTCTATCCCTATTTAAACGATGTTTTTCCCCTTCCCCTCCACAAATTAAACCAACATCAAATATAGTGAAAGCAGGGGTTATACTGTGGGGGAGGAATATACAAAGCAACAAAGAAATAATCTTATAAATGTGTTAGAAACAATCACATGAAAGAAAAAAACATTTGAATACATATCTTAAGGTTCATTTCCCTAACATCACCTTATATGACCTTTTCTGCTTGACTCAGACATATACTAGATACTGCAAATAAGGGAAACCATGGGAACTATGTTTCTTTGGGCCTGGCTTACTTCATTTCCTAACAAATGGGGCAATATCATTCTTTCTGATGGAGGCATAGAATTCCATTGTGTATATATACCACATTTTCTTGATCCATTCATCTACTGAGGGGCATCTGGGTTAGTTCCAGATC